GCATTTTGCGGCCACTGTAGTTTCTCCCTTGCGCTTGGGGAGGGGAATGTGAATCGAGGGAGTTGCAATCTGTGACTACATTGCTAGATGCCACTAAATCCTATGGACTTGAACATTAATAAAATGATCACGTCCTGTCACATGCTTCAACTCACTGGTGTCTTATCCATTATTAAATCAAGACCATGATTGATCAAGTGCCGTGAATTCCAAAACCTAACCAATAAATAAATAAATAAATAAATCATGCTTTAGTTGCTAAAGATATTGAACATACAGTATGTTGTCACTGAGTGAACATTTTGCAAATACTTGCGTGTCAAACTTTTGTCACTTAGCAGATGTTTATTAACAATGTGTCCTCATTATGTTGATAAAAAAGAAATATGGCATGCATTACATTTAACTTAAATTAGTGTATAAATGTTATTTCTAGGAGGAGGGGTTGAAAAAGATCCAAGGTGCATTAGAGCTAACTTGCACTCAGCAGAGTACGTTGTCCTGTGCTGCAATTCAATAACAATTGCCTACTGCAGCAAGATCACTACTACCACCACTGTTGCTGAAGCTTTAAAGAAGCTATAAAAACAGCAGCAAACACTTAGTACAGTGGGTGTTACCTCATCATGATAAAGTATTATCATGATTAAGTAGTTCATTGAAATAAGTATCATTTCATATCATGTTAAGGCAACGTTGTAGGGGATATAGCACTTCATTATTGTTGACAAGTTTCTTTTAACTCATTCTGGCTTCTCACTGCATACCATACAAACGACAACAGCCAAGGATCTGACTTTTTTCCTCCCCAAGGGCATTCTCAGGGGTGGGTAATGAACGGGTGGGCCCAGATTTTGATGTGGTTAGGGGCCAAGGGGAGAGAAATGTGAGAAGGGGTGTTAATTGTTTTGGCTCTTTGCTGGGGAAACATATCAACATTAGATCTAATGGAGGTTAAAGACTCTCATTGCCATAGGGGCTGGAGCTAATGAATAGCTTTAGCTAGCCAAGGAAAGAGAGAGGCAGAGAGAGACGCAGTGAGAGGGAAGAAAAAAGAGGATGTAGCATTTACTAGCCTTTACAAGGTTTTAACTTCATTCAGCTGAGTGTTTCATTGCAGTATTGACCTAAGAGGATTAACATTAAGAACTCATGAAAGTATTTTTATGTTTTTTTTTTTTTTTTGCCTGCTTTTTTTTTTTTTTTTCAAATGGGACATCTAAAATTATAAGCACAGCTATTTGCAACTACAGTGAGTGACCTCAAGGACAACTTCAACCATGAGTTTATAGAAGTAGAAAAGTAATGATTTAAAGTAATGTTGTCATTTTATTTTACCTTGAATGCGATTACTTTGTACTTGTTGCACATAGACTCACAAATACTGTACAAGTCAGCATACCTCGACCACAACAGCTAAGATTGCAGAAGCTAATTAACAATTTTGGCAATTCGCAGACTAATTCCATTACTTGGTATTTAACTTCTGCATGAATAATCAACTAAATGCTGGTGAGCCAACAGGCTGTATGCCACACACTCCCAGTATATACTGTTTGTGTACATCGGCACAATTCAGTTGCAGATGTATGCAAAGTACAGTAAACATGCGAGATGTACAAATTATTCTTTGGACAAAGAGAGCAGCATTACCAAAGTCTTCTTTTTGTCCCACATATAATGTTATGCTAAACCTGAATGAGGGAGACTCAAACATTGGTTTGAAACACTAGCTTAGAAATATTCATAATAGTTAGTCTCCCATTTCGGATTTTTATTTGGTCCCTCAGAAATGGTGGAAAAATATGGGAGCATGCAAATCGGCCTTCAGATGATACAATTCCCTCGTTTATTTATCAACAGAGTTAATTGAATTTTAAGGAAGGGCCTTCTTGGGGAAAAAGATTTTTGTACACTGAAGTATTCTTTTGAAATCACACCGTTTGATAGTGGTGTAAAGGATAGACTTATAGATAAAATGATCAACAGAAAGCATGACAAATGGAATTTTAATGAGGCTGTTTCTTTCATCTGTTATCATGTTGTGTTGCTTTTTGCTTTCGTGTGTCTTTGTACTAACTATTGATAGTATGTTGAAACCTGCTGTTTTTATGTTACTGGACATGTCTCCCCAGGATGCCTCGGCCTCTCACTCTTAACAGCACTGCTATCACCTTGATCACTGATCAGACTGACTCTGTTTTAGTTGCTTTGGGGTTTCACTTCCTGGAGTGTTTAATTGACTATAAACACACAAGCCTAAAAAACTGGAGAGAATAAAATGAGTCTGAGGAAATTCCTGTCATAGGAAGGTTTGGATGAGATGTTTTTTTTCTTTTTTTTTCAGTGATTTTATATATATTAAAAATATACAACAGTTACATATTTAGCATTACTTCAGTGGACAACTAACTTTCACTGGAGCCATTTTTGTCACAGGATATAGTTCTTGATGTCTATAAGACCAGAGATAACTTTTTGAATTCAATTTATTGATGTCATCATGGCTCCTGAGTAGTGTAACTATTGGTCCCACCCTCTAGCCTTGGGTGTTATGGGGTCACAGATGAAAACAGCCGTCTGTCAAATTCACTTATGCAGTAATGAGTAATAGACACAGTGATCTGGGAAGGAGAGGGGCTGTTAGAGGGCAAACACCCTAAAAAAACAGGGCTCCAATGGGGTTTACAGGCTATTGATGTATTAGATTAGCTCTTTGTGTCACAGATTAGATCTTTCCTTTGCAGCTGAGCAGGGACAAACTACATGGAATTTTCTTTTTCTCTGTTTAGACAACCATGACGAACCTTGATATAAGCTGGAAAAAGAACCTGGTTGAGTGCCCCAGAGTATACAACCTTAGATAGATGTGTCATATGGTGACGCTCAAGATACTATTTGAGCTTGGATAATATATTTTGTAGCTCAGATAATTTTGTAAGGAGCTAAAATTAACAAGAACCATACTTTCCAAACAATGTAATGTCCACCTTGTATTTATCAAGTCTTATTCAGAGCAAAATGTTTTTAGCTGCTAAAAGACTGTTTTGCTAAGATTTGTTCATTGTACGGTCAACAAAAATTGATGGGTATTTCCAAAAACAATGTATTTTCTGTCTGATTAGTTTTCATTTAGCAATGAATCTCAAAGAGAAATGACCAAATTGCCTTGGACTGCACATTCTTGTTTTTTTGTGCACAACAAAATGAGACAAATATGATTTTTTTTCTGTCTCCAGTGATGATTGGTTTGTTGGGTTGCACCTGCTCTTGTTGACAATGTCAATAAAGTCAATTTAAAACACAGCAAGTTCACAATAAGTGACATGATTCACATCTTGCTTAAAGTAGGCCTATATTATTGTGTATGGAAATCAGCAGCAATAGTTGATATCACAATTGCAGGCACAAAAAAATGGCAGTCCGCAAAACCTCGCCACGGTCAACTGAAGAAGTGCAGACGTTCCTCTGTTTGGTTGCCAATGAAAGGATCTTTAAAGGAAAGGATATCCAATGATGTTCCTGTGTGTTTGTTTCACGATGAAGATAATGTCACAACAGTTTCACCCAATGTCGCTATGACGATCAGCTAAGAATGTGGAATCGAGTGGCCCCATGTAGTGGAAACACAACATTAGAGAACTAATGCAACACTCACCAAAATGCATACAAATTTGAGCCTAAGTGGATAATTTACTGTGTTTTTCAACTTAACAGGTTCCTTTGTCCTTACTTATGAAATATCATGCTAGCAAGATATCTAATTGATCTTACCAACAGAAATAAAATGGCTGTAGACTGCACATACTGTAGAAAAGTTCACTTACACAAGGGCAAATTAAAAAGCCCTTAAAGGAACAAGGGTGTGCACTTCTATTTCAAGTGCAGTGATGGTGTTACTTGAAGTGGGTGTCAGGTTGCAGCACGGCTTTTTACATCACGGCCATGTTGAAGCATCATTGATCCCAGCTGAAAAAGAAAGCAATCTGGACAATGAAGTTCAATAAAAACTGTCTCCCATCTCAAAAGGGGCCAGCTGATCTGGCGCAGTGTAATGCTTTAGCATTAGTGGCACTCAGCTGTTTCTGCCAAACATTGGCCCACACCATGAAATCTCTTGTTAAGAAGAGAGAAATAGTGTTCGGCTTGTAATTGAACCATTTTCTACCCCCCTCCTTATCCTCCTCCTCCTCCCTGCCCCTCTATCACTCTTGTTACCCCCTTTTCCACCTTCTTTCCTTCTGTCCCATCCTGCTCGTCCCCATTTGTTTTCTGCTCACCCCATCTGAACACACACACACACACACACATACACACACACACACACACGGTCAGACACACACTCCTTTTGTATGAGCAGCAGCACCCATCAAAATCTGGATCGATCCCCTGGTGTCATTGTGTGAAGAGGTTATTTATGTGGGCATCCAATCTGCACCTGCCGTTGTGTTTGAGCAAGAGGGGAACACGGCCAGAGTTTGTTAACAGTGAAAGAGGAAACATCAAAGCTGAGGGGAGAGAGAGGGAGAGAAACGGGTAGAGAGAGAAGGGGGTGGGGGGTAGAGCAGCCACCTCGGAGCCCCATGAGTACCCGCCAGCTCACTGCCTCGTCTCTCGTGAAATGAGCACTTTCACAGTCAGTTAGTCTTTAAGTAATAGATATATTGAGTTCATCCCTTGTAACGTTAGACAACTAATTTATTATTATTTTTTCCTTTTTCCCCTCACCCTTTGCAGCCCTCCCCTTCTCCTTGTCCCCTTCCATCTCTTCCCCCGCTTTCCCTCTGTGTCCCTTTTCCCTCCGTTCCCCATCAACACAGGATTATGAAGGTTAAATAAACTCTGTGAAAATGAATGAATATTGCCACAACCTCCTCCCCTCCTACCCCTTCTGCAATCAAACCCGCACCACCGCCGCCACCACCCTCTTTCTCTCTACCCTCCACCCTCACTGCCTGAAAAAAAAAAAAAACTCCAGCCTGGGCTATCTGGCGGCAGAATGAATGATCCTATTTATGTTAATGCATACATGAACGTTACACAGGTTTTTCCCCTGATAAGGCGATAGGTTAATGAAATGCTCATTTCATTTTACCAGTTGTTTTCTCTGTGAAGTTCCGATAAGTAGCAAACCAATGAAGCTTGTAATTACAATCTTACAGAAACCCGGCCAATCTGTGTATAAATCTCACCATCCAATTACAAGATGTAATAATTTTGCAGTCAAGCTGGTAATGAGGTCTAATACTCATGCATGTGATAATCCCCCCTGGATGCTGACTCTATCAGATGTTAGCTTTGTAATTATATGAGCTTGAGAAAAAAAAAAATCATTATTTCATGTTCAAGTAGAAAATGAGGTTGGTGGGAAGTTAATTTTCTCTATGCTCTGTGAAGCGTAGACAAGAATTTAATGATTTAATTACAGTTGTTAGCCCTTTTTTGCGAGAGGCTTAAATTGAGCTAAGCATTTTTCATAGCCCCCGACATCAAGAGTCAGGGAACATCAAAGATTTTGACAGCATACAAAGTGATGAGCAGGCCCAGTGGCCCTGAGATTTTTTTTTTCTCTTCTTGGTAGCCAGAAAATAAGGTTTCCTTTCCTTTCCTTTTATTTTGGTTCCTTTCCTTTTCCTTTCCTTTCTCTTTCCTCTCCTCATCGTCAGGGTAACCACAGCCCAGGGACACCAGACCTGCTGGATAAAAGCAACATCAACAAATATTAACCGCTCTGGCTTTCACCACCGGCAGCTAATCCACTGTATGTGAATTTGTCATATCAGATTACTATGACAGTCATGGTGCAGCGCAGAATGGAAAGCATCCTCCTGCATCCTCAAAAGGACAATATAGTTTTACTCCCCACCTTCTTTGAATTTCAAAACAGCCTATGAGTGGTGTCTGTAGTCCTCTGATTTCCATACAGCCTTTATATGAGAGAAAGAAACTGTAAATACATTCCTCAGAGTAATCCCTAGAAAGAGGAATGGCTGCTTTTGGCACTTTAAAAAAGTGCTTTGAGCAATGTAATTCAACTTCATAGTAACAGTAGCTACTTGGTTATGCAGGGCGATATGCTTGTGTGTGTGTGTGTGTGTATGTGTGTGTGTGTACTGCTGTCATCCATGCTTTTATCAGGTTTTTGGAACCTGGCATCTGGGGAGTTATTGATTCAGATTTTAATAACTTATTTAAGCTCTGAAACTTGACATGAGAAAATTGTGAATTTATAAATAATTTGTGACAGTGTAATAGTTTATTCTCCTATTTATGACTCTTGAGATGTTTGTAAATCACAGACCATGATCCAAGAAAATGCATGTATGTATCTATGTATCTGTGTGTACATTTTACATCTCATATGGGTGGCTGTGGCTCAGAGGCAGAGCGGGTTGTTCCTTAATCGGAAGGTTATGGGTTCAATCCCCAGCTCCTGATGCCACATGTCAAAGTATCCTTGAGCAAGACACTGAACCCCAAATTGCTCCTGATGCCATGCATCGGTGTATGAATGTTATTTTTTGTTCAATGGACTTTGGCATCACTGTGTGAATGTGTGTGAAAGGGTGAATGTGGCAAGTAGTGTAAAAGCGCTTTGAGTGGTCGGAAGACTAGAAAGGCGCTATACAAGTACAGGTCCATTTACCATTTTATCAAATGTATACTTACATGTATGTAAGAACTGATGCCAGTACCAGCTTGTTAGGAACTTTGCAAATATACTTAGTAGATATCCCTGAGCACCCATCAATAGGCATATGTTCAACAGTTGTGTTAGAGGTTAAACCCAATCACTTCTGTTCAGTTACTTTGTTTTAATTCGAAGTAATGTTTGAGTCACAGCTTTGCATTTTACATTAAAAAAAATAAAAAATGCCTATTTGAATCCACATGGTCCACATTGATGTGCCTCTGTTATAATGTGCTATTAAAAGGTTTTTGGGGTAAACTGGCACACTGTTTTGACAAAATCAATGCAGTGCTGACTGCATAATCATATATGATTGAGTTTAGACTCTCATTAGGTTTATTAGGTAGGTTAGCGTATTCTACTCCAATGTAAATATTTGTCTTATAGATGCAAATGTTTGAGAGTGAACAAATCAAAGCAAAACACCAAATCTGATAATAAACCATTGTATACTACTGCAATTACAACTGAGTTTAATGAAATATTTAATTTTTGATAAACTTATTATTTTCAAATAATTGTTTATTGTTTGGTTTATAAAATGTCCAAAAATAGTTAAAAAGGCAATCATGATATCCAAGAGCACAAGTTGACCCACACATAATGCAAACTTTTACAGCTAGAACTGGTGATTAAAAACATTAGGAATCAAAATTGTTGATTGACAAAATGATGAACTGACTAATGGTTTCATAACATTTGTGAAATGCTTAATACGAATAGGCCTTTCTATATATTTCACTTCCTTTTTAAACCCTGGTTTGGAAAAGTGCGTTACATATTGCCCATTACACTTAAGGATGTGAAGTCGCCCTCAGGATTCATAAAAAACAATAGCTTCCCTGATTCTGCACTCTCCATCCTATCTGCTCTCCCTCCCTCCCTCGTCCAGTAGTCCCAACCTCCTCTTTTGACCTTTTTTAATCCCCCCCAGCCCTTTCACTCCTTTCTCTGTGCTTGGCCATGTCCTGTTAAACAAGGAACGTGTTGCGGTGTTGTGACCCACGATTGTGGGCAGCTTCACGGCAGGTTTTGCAGGCCTTTTTTCTGCTCTGGTGTCCAGTCTGCCTCCATCTGCCACTGCCTCACCACAGTCCCGCTGGGGGAGATGGGGCTAATTCTGCAGTCAATTAGCAGAAGGGCCGCTTTTGTTCTCTCACTGGCTCCCATGGGCCCTATCTGCTTCACTGCTCCCTCACTCATGCTCCATTTCGATGGTTCTCACTTTCTGTCTCATTTATTTGTTCATGGTCCTCTGTTTCTCTTTGGTTGTGTCATTTCTTTTTTTTTCATTTTGTTCCATTGCTCTTCCTGTTCTCTTTCTTTGTATCTTTAATTTGTCCATCATATTATCTTCATCTCTCTATCTCTCCTGCTTCTCTCTCCGATATAAATTCTTTGTGGTATTGAGTGTCTGCTTGCCATATTTCTCTTCCCAGCCCACCCTTGCTCTGTGACCTTTGTGACATTGTTGGCCAAACGCTGTCTCTGGCAATCACAAGCCATAAAAAAAGATTTAGGAATTATAGGTACATCCCCAGACAGATTTTGATACATTGTGTCATAAACATTAGCTATCAGTCTAAATGGCAAACAGTAAACAGCAGGCTACAAATTAAGTTAACCTGCTGTGTTTGTGTGCATCATTTGCTGTGTTTTGTTCATATTATACTGTACACAAAGGGGGCATATTACTTATATTTATTCAACAATATTCTTAACATGTGGAAAATAAGTTTACCTTCTAACTCATTTATAGAACTCCATTATAGACATACGTTTAAATTATGCAAGTTATCATATCAAGCTATTTAGAAACTGAGGAAAAGTCAGGGGGTTTACAGTGTTTGTAGAAACTTTCTTAATTTTATTTTCATAGGTTAAATATATAAGACATATATAAGCCATCACATTTTCCCATTCACAATAATTAGCATTTCTTCCATTTTCTAATTAGGAGGCATTACACTTGAACCAAAATAAATTTTCCCTGCACCTATACTGCCATTAGAAAAAAAAAGAAGCATTATTGAAAAAAAAATACCCACTGTAAAATAAGGTGGAAATCATTCTTTTCCCTCTGTCTTTTGATCGATGCGGCACCCTGTGGGTCTTACCCTGCTGTTGTCCCTGTGGCTCTACCTGGCCCTACTGAGCTGTACCTGTCTCAAGTTAATAAATCATTTTGGCATTATAAAATATTCAAAGGAGGGGGGGGGATCAGGCAAGGCCAGGTTAAAGAATTTCTTAAATTTTCATGGCATGACAGCCTGTTCCACATACGCCCCCCCTTCAGCTGCTTCGTGTTCTGAGTTGTGTGAGTGTGTGTGTGTGTATGTGTGTGGCTAGGGGTTGGGAGGATCTCCCGTGTCACTCTAATAGTCTAGAATTACACTTGTATCAGTGTCACTAGCATATGGGGTCTATGTATACCCTTAGGCCCATCACACTCCCTTCCACCTTCCACTGTCATGGCATTTAAAATGATACCATTTGGGCAAAGCTACTTTTGACAGAAAAAGTGAAAAGCTGTGTGTTTCCCTCCTTAGCCCGACGACAGAGCTGCAGCCACCAGGGGCCCCTGCCACTGAGCAGCCAATCAAATGATATTTTACAGGATAATGATGGAAAGTAGGTTTGCCTCCTTAGTGAGTGCTCTCGCTCTGTCTCTGTCTCTCTCTCTCTCTCTCTCCCTTCCCTCTTTTCCTCCCTCACTTTTCTTCTCTCTGTCCCTATCTTTCCCCTCACCCTCTCTTTTTACCCTCCCTCTCTCCGGTGCTGTGGGATATAACAAGAAATCCAATGGCGAGGATGGCATCCTTGAAGCAATCAACAATGTTCATAGACTATACTACAGGAATGCAGTATTATCTATAGTGAGATTTCCATTTTAGTCCTATCACACTTCACTTACGGAGGAAGTGCACCAGAATTTTTGTTTTTCATTTTGGTATCATCTTTGTTAATAAGTGGTTATTGTAGTTCTCACTAGTCAAACTTTGTTGCTAGTACTATATACTTCTTTGGATCTTTTGAAATTTCTGTCAAGGCTATGTTCAGACAGATATTACTATGGCGCAAAACAACGCAGCTCTGTCATTCATTTCACCGAGGCTATGTGGCAAGTGTGCCGAGACAGAGGGTTCCAGCGAAAAATGCACGTTGGTCCTGCAAAAAAGTTATGCTGTAATGCAATGTGACGTCATCCAGCTAAGCTCTCGCCACACATGGCCAATCAAATACTGTATGTTTGTAATGTAACACTGTAATGTGTTATTCTGTTGTTTACCTGCCAATCGATGCAGCAGAGGATAAAATAAGTATCCCTGTGATTACTTTCCAGAGGAATCTGTCCTTACAAACATGCACTGTGTCGGTGCTGTGTTTCCGTAATCATCTGGGTGTATGTTGAGTCACTATTAATTCACTTTTGTTATAGACTTTAACAAAATGGACAATTGCTTACATTTTTGTAGAAACAGACATTTGTATCACTATGATGAAAGAAACAAACAAACAAAACAAACCCTCACAGAGTATCACATACTTCATTTGTCTTCAAATTTACTTTGTTTGTATTGTGAACACTGTTGTCTTTGAATGGAGATTAGGCAATCAAACAAGAGTACTATGAAATGAATCATTCTGTCCTTCGCTGTATCACACAGCTGTAGAAGCCTGAAGTAAGTTAGTCTCACAAAGGTTAAACAGCACATGAAATAGTGATGAATCCACGGATAGGGGGACCAATTAAAGCTCCAAGTGCCGTCTCTCCCATCTCTCCCTCTGTCTCTCCCCTCCCGACCCCTCTTACTACCTCTCCAACACTTTTTCTCCTTCTTCTCATCCTCTCTTGTCATACCTTTCACCGTCCCTTGATCCTCTCTTCTGCCCCACCCATGCCTCCTAATTCCACTTTTCCTCTTCGCCCTCTCCCCCATTCCATTCATCCATCCATCCATACAAGACAGATAGTGCTTTGGCTGGCTGTGTCGCTCTCTGTGA